ATTAAGTCATACATATCGATAGATGATTTAAACTTGTGAATTACTTATTATTTTTCAATTCTCTAGGCTAGGAACAATGACTTCTCTATACGCACATATTTGTTCGCTATAGAAAGGCACGGTAGTGCATTCAAAAGATCAGAAATCCAGTATTTCGTTTAAGATACTTTTGATTGTAATGTGTCAAAACGAATTCGAGACGATGTTCAACCGTAAACGGATGATAGTCAAAGACCGTAAATTGAATCTTGTAGAGATTAAGTATGAACTTTATGACTTTTGAATCTCAATAACACCGACCGATGATTTAGCGAACGACATTATTATTTTTGTGTAAGTATTTTAATGCTAAACGGTTGTAACGTTCTAGAAAATTCGAAAAAATACTCCAGTCGAAATTCGACCAAAAATAATTGGATCATATGAGACGTTCTATGGCGAATGCAGGCATACTCACAACCGATAATTGAATAGTATGATTACCGAAAGAGACAAAATAACAATCGTAAAAAATTAAAAATAAAAAATAAACAATTTTGAATTTAAAATTTAAAAATGTTTGTCTCATAACTTCCAGATTTATGTGCGAACTATTATAAGTGAACATTTTTGTACCTCCTGTACTAGAAATGTTCGCGGACCAACTCGTACAATAAAATATAAATTACACATATTGTAGAATGTTAGAGAAGTTGCGCAAGTATTCGGTTGCGCACGAGCAGAAATTGTCCTCGAGGATGCAGTCCATGATATTGGATACACTGCAATAAAATAATAACGATTTGATGATATGAAAGATCTATGGAAAGCTTCTGTTATCGAACGAGATAGATGAAAATAATTGTACACCGTCACGCGTCGGAGATACGAATAACCCTCTTGGAGCCGTGCCACCGGTGCCCAAAATTAGCGAACAATCGAGGTATAAATACTGTGCTCGTACGTTTTAACGAAAGAAAATAAAATATTAAAATATTGTAATTGTCTGTGAAATAGATAAACATTAGCGAAAGAGAACAGGTTCAAAATAATAATAAGCCTTCATCGGAACAACAAGAAATAAACGGTTTAGTTATTTTCGACGTATTTAAACTACACATATTTTAAAGTTTTACGATAAATTATTATCTCGGCAACCCCAGAGAATATGAAATCTATATACATATAGGAGACCACCCCAATTCACTCATTGACGCCCAGAGCAAACTGCTGGGTCTAGAGACTTGAAATTTTGTACAGTGGTTTCTTAAGCCATTTAGGAGCGCGCTAATATAGGATTTTTCAAAATTCGACCTCTAAGGGGGTAAAAGGGTTTTTTTTTGTTTTTTTTAAAAATATTATAAATATGTTAAAAATTTAAAATTATAAAAAAAACAATACTATAAATTATTATAACTAACCATTAGGTAATAATAAAATTATAATTTTTAATGAAAATAAAAAATAATATTAGTTGTTTTATAAAAAAAAATCGTGGTTCACATTGCCCGCGCAGGAACACATTGCCCGTAATACATATGAATAATAACCGATTCTAATGTGCTTGTATGATTCCCACAGGTATGCAATCTGAAAATATATTCAAAAAACTGACGAATATGATTTCGGTTGACGTGGAAGGGTTGTATTATAAACGTAATGGTATGCTTTTTAAAGAACTTGTCGATATACGTGACAAAAATTGCGTTTTGTAGTACAAATAATTATTATTAACGAGGATTCTCGTCGATTGTTCATCCTTTGATACCTTCGGTTTTGGTGAAATTAAACTTAAAGGTAAGTTATTACTATTCATATTTTTACTTTTGATTAAGAACAAGGTAGAAATCATAACTTAATAATACATAATTTACTTAATAAATCCCCTAAAAAAAGGGTGACTGAATAGCCATTTTTTTATTGTTGTAAAATTATAACAGGTTAGGCTACAAACCATACATGCCACTGCTGCCTGACATGAAACGCATACACACACAAGCACATTCTCAAAATAATAATTTAAACATTTCTTAATTATACAATGTTTATATTTTTCCAAATTCATATGTGATATAACCAAAAGATCTAGCGCCCATGTTAATATTATTATTCTCGTTCGTAGTGAACACATCGCGTCGCCAATTTTTATTATTGTTATTTTATTACACTACCGCATTATTATTATTATAATTATTGTAAAAGTTTGCATTGTGTACCAAAATATGCGAGTTAGAAAATTAATTACTATTATGTGTCTGCGTGTGAACTTATTTATTTAGTTATTTATTGAGTTATTTTAGATTATTAACAGCTCTCCGTGTGGTTGTGATTAAGAAATTTATATTATTTTTATCATCATTTTTATTACTATTTTTGATTGCATTATTGACATAGCAACTTTTAGTAACATTTATTTATTTATTTATTTTTTTGTGACATTTAGTTACAATTTTTTTGTTGAAATATAAACACACACAAATACACATTTACACACACACATTTACCACTTAGCTTATTTAATCAGATTTGCGAGGAAATCCCAACCACTCCGATTGAGCTACATAAACATATAAATACACATAGAGTCCATTAAGTCACTCTTCGGTGGGCGTATGCATTTTGGTGTCCGATGTTAAGCGCGATAAGACTTTATGCACTCGGCCCGAACAATTGTTATAACTGTCTTCATAGATAAAATTTAAAATAAATTACGAAAATAAAATATATAGTACTAGAAATGATTTGAAAAATATAATTAAAGAATGTAAATAAACAAAAAAACAGTCATATATTTAAATTAAAAAAATAAAACAAAATAATTTGATAAATAATTATAATTTATCATAACACTATTCTGCGTTCAGTTGAGTATTTTAAATCATCAATAATATCTTCTGGATTTAAATGTATAGCCATTTCTCCCTCTATGGTTAAAATATATAAGCTATTTAATCTCTCTTGGAGCGCAGTACTTCTTAATTTTGTTAATACATTAAATTGTAAATCAATTTTTAAATAATTTATAAATAGTAACAAATAAATAAAGGCTTAGCCTGAAGTATTATTATTATATTTATAATGTATGAATGTTAATACGAAACCGATCGTACATTAAAAATATAATAATACTCCATTTATTTCTATGTGTTAACTATATATAATTTATGTTTCAAAAATAAATAAAATGTCTGGGTTCGAATATAAAAATATAATAATAATTGTAATGTACTCGTAATACAAAATCATATAATATACATTTTAAGATTAAATATGTCATACTTTTTATTTATTTTTGGTGTTTTTAGAAACATATCTTTGTGTTCAGGGTATGCAACCCCTCATGAATGCCTTTGAGTAAAATACATAACAGTAGTATTATTTATGTGGTTTTATTAGTTTGACACGCTTAATGGTTATACTTTTTGGTCTTAATTAAAATATATTCCCAATATTACGAGTTATTTTACATAAAAAATAAACACTTCTTCGATTCTAAAAATAAAATGAATAGGTCTGACAGTTTAAAAAAAGTATTATGATCTTTCGGTCAACAAAGTCTGAACACGCTTATGATATTCAATATATTAAACCATATTGTATTCAATCGTTTTAAGGAGTGTATGTATTTTTTTTTTACATTTTACGCCTGTCTGACAATGAGCGTATAGTTGAGTAAAATAAAACAATACAATTATATATTACGAATTGGAGACGAAAAAAATAAAAAAAACGTTTAACTCGAAATATTTACTATACATTATTATATATTTTATATTCTATATAATAATACAAACTTAAATATGCAAAACAACAAAAACCCAAAAAAATATATGTTAAACATTTCCATCTAAAAATTACGTTACATATTTATTCTATACATCGTGCGAAACACGCCGCACGTATCGAGTGAATGATATATGCGCAGTGGTTTTACAATTAAGGTAGAGAGAACGAACATAAAACACGCTTAAACTATTAAAAAAAAAAAATAAATAAATAAATAATAATCTTAAGGAAAATAAAATGTACATCAATACGATATAACCTAAGTGTACGATTTACCACTCTTATAGGACTAATAAAAGTACGACCGTGTATAACCGCCTAAAATGATTTTAAATTATTACCATGATTTGACTTCATCAAAAATAGTGGCTTGGTCATTGCAGCAACACACAGATTTGCTATCGAATGCTTATAGTATTTATTTGTTGATGATTATAATTTTTTATTTACTTGTCCGTATCGTTATAGGACCGTGAACATCATTAATCATAACGTAACTATTTATTTGTTCTTTCACACAGACTACTTTATAGGGTTTCAATAAATACAAGATTACGAGATTGGCTCCATTTTTCGAAACACAATGCCGCGGGTTTGGATGAATGCGAATATCTGATTAGTTTGAAACCGCGAAATTTAGAAAAACAATCATATAGATATTGAAAACAATTTTAACGATATCGTGAGACGCAGGGTCAGACTGGGTATGGAGGGCCTCACCGGAGACTGACATACAAAGTTATTAGTTAATTATTAACATTCAGACTTAGGTAAAATACTTTTTAAAAGTATTTAGAATAAATATTCGAATACTTACAAAAAATAGTATTCCGAATATGTTTTCAAATACTCGTACTTTATAAAAATTGTATTCCGAATACATTATTTAGAATACTTCAAAAGTATTTCGAATACTTTTAAAATACTTCTAGTTTTCATACTATAAAAATAATAGATGTCCACTGAACAGAAATATTTGAAATTGTAGGCTAAATATATGTTATTTTATTGTATTTTTATATTACATAATCGTTATAGCTTATGGTTTACAACAATAATAATTACCTATTGGGCTTATACAAGATACGACGAAGTAATAAAATCATTTAAAAAAGAGATGATTTTACAGTATTTGAAATACAGTATTCAGAATATTCTTTATAAGTATTCAAAATACTTAATTGAATACTTTCAAAAAAAATATTTAAAAAGTATTTGAAATACTTAAAAAGTATTCTGAATACAGTATTCCGAATATTGTATGCGGAATACTACCCAAGTCTGTTAACATTATATAATATTGATACTTATACTAACATAGGTGCAAAATATGTTAACCTCTCAAATTTTAATCGTAGTCGCACCAGTGAATACTAACAAAACAATTCTACATACTGGGTATATTTTACATAAATAACAAAAATATATTTTTATAAACCTATTTGGTAAATTACAAATAACAATTAATAATTAGACTCTTGATTCTTACGAGTCATACGATATTATAGTAAACAAAAAAAAAAAAAGTAAGGGGTAACAAGTAGGGCCTCAGCGGCAATCGCTAGTCTATAATATAGGCCAGTCCGACTCTGGCAAGACAGATATTCTACTGGAATTTCAAATCGAATCAAACGATTTCGCGAAAAACATTAATATTTTATTCCGGTTCAAGGGTTTCGAGGAATTAAAATTGATGTACATTTAATTTATATTACATAATACACTCGAAGAATAAAAACACCTAATGGGGTTAGAAACTACGCACATCAAGTGAATCGTTCACGTATGAAACGTATTACAACAACACGTATTATACACCATAATGTAGGATATGATTGGGTTATGTAACTATCAATAATTATAACTATGAACACATCTATACAAAATTTCGATTATTTATATATATGTATATATATATATATAAACACGTAGAACATAATACAGTTAAATTATTATTATTGTTATACCCGTAAAGTATGTACATTAATTTTTCGTCGACTTCGTACAAACGTTACCGATCGAAGATTGTCGTTTATTCGGTAGCGCAATAACGTTGCACTCGATTATTGTTTTATCGAGAACGGAATACACAATAATTTCGTACTCTCGTTCACCATGGGCGGTATATACTATCATACGCTAGGACGGCAATGGCACATCTTTACAGTAGTAGTAGAGATAAAAAATAGATAGAACAGCGATTCTCAACCGGAGGGTCGCCAACAATTTTTTTAGTGTCGCATCATGTGAAAAAAAAAATTATTTCAAATCAACAACAGTATCAAATTTACATAATTTTTTATTTTATTTTTATTTTTTCCTTCTATTAATTAACGCTAATCGGTTTTCATAATGTACCTTTTTTTTGTAAAATGTATATACAAATAAATACAATAATAACAGTTTGTAAAACTTTTCAATGCCTATATTACAAAAGGGTCGTTAGACACCTTGGTGACATTATGGGGGGTTGCGAACTCAAAAAGGTTGAGAACCGCTGAGATGGAATACACTGTCTACCATTTTCGTTCGGTCGTGGATAGTTCTGTTTCGCTAGCGTAACGCACTCGTTACGGTCGTTGCGAGTTATTATTTGGAATTCAAATCGTTTTGTAGGAAGTTATTTATGTTAATTATTATCGTTGTAAATAATCATTGATGTAACAGTGACAATTTCACGAACAACGAACAAAAATTTATTTCAGTCTATCCGTGAAAACGAAAAGATTAACGATCAGAACAGTGTATACTCTATCCCAGCATCTCTAGCATCTCCTATCGCTAATAGGCCACTGCCATGAAAACGAACGGAAATCGTCCGCAAAAGCACACACGCGCAATTATAATGTTGTTATTATCGTTGTTATTCGCTTAGTTCTAATTTTAATAGGAAAACGTGAACGGGGGAGAGGAATGGAAAAAAAAAAAACGAATTCCACTGGTTTCCATAGTTACACGCGGAAAGCAAAGCTGAGGACTGCCAAAGATTGTGTGCGCTCAATTTATATATATATATATATATATATGTACATGTATAAGTGTATTTACGTATATCCGAGTAGGTATTTTTTTTTTTTTAATTTGAGCCTAATTTATTTACCAAACGTATACAATTTGTCTTGACACGTCTCTCGAGTACTCGTGTACATATATATAGTATATATATGTATGTACATCGCGAGCAAAGCCGGATTAAGTTACCGTACAGTTGTACGGCCGCCGCTCGGACGTAATAATAATAATAATAATAATAATAATGGTTTAGTAACATCTGAGGAGCTATACTTTTATCGTACCCCAACCGTTCGGGGCCATTAAAAGTTTTTCGGGCTCCAATTACTTTTTCCCATTATATTTCTAAGCACTCTCAATTTGAGGGGTGGGAATCGCCGTCGAATTATTGTATTTATCATTGCGGTCAGACGCCTCCGGCATATATATTTACCGATTGTACAACTTTGAATTGAATTCCCCGTCCCCCGGACGCTTCTCGAAATCCTCTCGGCCATGCACTCACGTCCGCAGGCCGACACCGACACGCACTCAAGCCGACCGGAATATTTCAACTCGCGCTCGAATCCGCAACACGTCCTACGATTTCTAATGCGGCCGCGGTCGGAGGAAAAGGGATGGCTATTTATTTTTTTCCATCCTGTCGAAATGACGCGTGCACGCGTTTCGAGACGTAAATCTTTTACGTTTTCCGTGTCCAAACACCGCCGGGAGTAGAAGGTGCTTTTTTAACATTTTTTTTTTCTTTGTAAGCCAATTAATTCAGTGTTTGTTGGCTGTATACGATTATCGACGAGAAAAACCGTTCTGGATGTCGTCGAATCGGAAAAAACAGCTCTCGGTGTAACGTATTATAAAACGTTGTGCGATGCATTCCTGAGCGTAACTCGTTTAACATTTTAGAACGGGTACTATGGGGATCGAACAAATTGGCGGACAAACTATGGACGATAATTAATCGTCACACATTTTCAAGTAAGGTGAAATTGTACCGTTATCGTTTCTGCGTGCAAAAAATGAGCGGTACGGAAAGCCTCCGATATCGATTAAATTGTAACATTTCACGAGGACACGCGTGTAAAGAAAACTTTCAAACCGTATACACGTCACGCGCTTTCATTTTATACATTGCCCGCGCTGCATTTTTTTGTGATTCAAATTTTTTAATTTGTTATCAACAGTACCGTATCGTCTTATAAGTATAATATTTTGGTTGAAATCGATTGCTTATAAAAACTCGATGTTCGATTGGAAACGTTTGCAGTACGTCCGACTGGTGCAACTGGTGCCAAACGATCGGTCCGATAATAAGAATACCGGAGTACGGGTAACTGTATAAATATCTCGGGTTTGATAGCCGATACGATACGTTTAAAGGGTTTTCATATAATACTCGCTGACACAAAAATCAAATTCCTAAGCAGTGCCCGGCGGCGATTCGCTCTTTCGAACAAAATGCACGCGCTGTCACGATTGGTATCATGCTGTCGCGTGATTTCGCATTGTAATGCGAGCGAAACACGTTGCCGACCAAACGGAGCCGAGGTTGGCGAAACGAGTCGATTTTGACGCCGGCGCATAGATTATCATGAATAAAAGTGATCGGACATAATTTTTGTAGTAGCAAATCAACCGTGGGTTTTTGTCGTTTCAATGCGAAATGTATGTTCACGCGCACGTCTAGTGAACATCGATTGAATAGAAAATAAAAAAAATAACTCCAGCCGTAATATTAATTTCGCAGATGAATCACGTTTCTCTCGTGAACTTTTGCAAAATATTAATGAGAAGAAGATAATTGACCTATGAATGGAAAAAAAATATATTTATATGTATATATATATAATTATGCGTTGCATTAGCATGAATAATACGTCCGGAGGATGCAGTGGGTACGTTGAAAAGAAAAATACATTAGTACTCCGTATAGGTTTACGTGTATATATGTATGCTGTTTGGCTGTAGCGAAGAATCGTAATAATGTACATACGAGGGGCAATAAGTCGGTTCACATCCTAACGGATGATCCTTTAACGTAGTTTCTTTGAACTTTTATTTATTTATATGTATGTATATGTTTACGATTTATTCGATTCGTTACCGTCGCGAAAAAGCCTGATTTCGGAGCATCGGTTCAATAAAAGTTTAGAAAAATAACTTTGCGTGCGTTCACACACACGCACACACACACACACACACACACACACACACACACACACACACACACACACACACACACACTCATACACATACGTGGGTGGATTTATAAATTTATAATACGGTGCCATCAAATGATGATGAGAGACGCAGACGAGGTATTCGAATTCGGGATTATCGGAACAACGACGAGTCGGTTTATTGGATACAGGAATATAGGAATATAGGATTTAAGTACGCGCGCACAAGACGTTTGGAAAGTTCATGCCCGAAGGACAACCGAGACGAGTATTATAGCGCTGCTCAGAGGACGATTTCCGTTCAGATGCGTTAAAGATTATTTCTCTATGTCTGTCTGTTTTCCGTTCGGGAGGGGAAAAAAAATCGAATCGCTAACCGAGTACGTGATCAGCTGTTTAGATCGACTGTTAGTGTATTTATCAATGTATTATTGGAATGCGCGTTGTCGAGAAGACGACCGACAACGTAATATATGTACACGTAGATAGTGCGGCGAAGGGACCGCAACGGGTCTTTATTTTGTCGACGTGCGGATCCCCCGTTGGCCCGCGAGCGGTCGGCAGGGCCGCGTGGATAGGGAGCGGTTAGGGCTCGATGATCGCGATGGCTTTGAACTGATCAGGCCCGGCCGTATGTCAGCTGACCACCTCGTCCGGTGGGTTGTTGGTGAGCGTATTCCACAACGGCGACCTGGCCGGTCTCGGGGGCGGTTTATCCGTCTGCACGGCCACCGATATCCTGGCGATGGCCAGCACGTGTTGCTAGCTGTCCGGGCACACAAGAGCCTCGACCGCGCCACCGCCACTGCCGCACTCGGCCGTCACATCGCTTTCAGCCGCCATCCCGCCGATCCCGGCCACGGTGCAGCTGCTGTCCATCTCGCTGCGCTCCTCCATCACGGGGTCCAGGTCGCAGGACGCGTACGACCGGCTTTCGCTGCGCAATGGATGGTTCCTACCGCCGCAATTGGCTGTAGTTCCAGCCGCCAAGTACACACCTGCGAGGTACAAAAAAATCAAAAAAAAAATCAAACCGAATCACAGCATTAACATTAACGTATATTTTGCGCTTGGGCACCGCGCGAGAGCTCTAGAAACTCGACCGACTCTCAAGCCTGCATATAGTTAGAGTCGTCGGATTTTGAAATCCTTGAATCGAGACATCATGTTGAATGACCTCTTTTTTTTTTTTTTTTTTTAATTAACGTTCACACGGAAACAAAAATAAGTACATGATTTTTTAATTTAAATATTTCATTCGCTCGCGTGCAGCATTAGAGATATGACGTATATTGTATTCTCTGCTAATATATTATATCAATATAATTGGTATTGCGTCTAAATACACCGCGTTTAATACCATTCGATACGGAGTGACGATTTACTGCTCAATCTTCATATTAATCTTTCAAACATTATCCAGCCTCCGTTCTGGAAAAATCTGGTAATATTAATTATATTATTTTATTATATAAGTATATAATAACATTTTCTCCGTGCATCGTCATTTAATTACATTATCGCAACGAACTCCCCGACCTAGCCGGTGGAAGTTCTTATTTTAACTCAACCTTATAATGAGTAGTCTCGCAAATAAATATACCGCTAACGTACGCAATACCAATACAAAAATTACTAAAGCCACATTATTATCAACCTCTAGTTAAAATCACATACCCAGTGATTCAAAATCAATAAACGAAGTTTTTTCCGATAACAACGGTTCAAATACCGAATTTCATACGACCAAATCCAAATCGAAACGTCCTCACTCTTCAAGTTCTACTGAAAAAGAAAAAAAAATAATGAAACCCGTTTTTGTCAGTACAAATAGATTTAATATTCTCAACACTAGTGAAAATGAAGAAGATACGGAAATGCACAATATTTCCAAATATAATTCCGACACCAATACCTATCAAAGAAATCCGCTATTTCCACTGATTTTTGTACGCTATGTCGGAAATTTCATCGAATTGCGTAATGATTTAGTAAACCTTATTGGCTCCGACAATTTCTACTTCAAATCCTCCGCAAATAATTTAAAAATTAACACAACAAATTCAGACTTTTATCGAGCAGTTATTACATATTTAAAATCTGGTAAAGCTGAATACCACACTTATCAAGCTCATGATAACAAATCATTTCGCATTGTCATCCGAAATTGACACCCCACTACATCAACTACCGAAATTATCGTTGCTATCCTAAGTTTGGGTTATAACATCCGCCAAGTTTCAAATGTCTTAGACAAATCTACCAAAAGCCCTTTTCCGATATTTTTCGTTGATCTCGAACCCGCGCGAATCAATAATGAGATATTCAAATTTTCTTCAATACTTCACACCAAAATTAAAACAGAAGAGCCCTACAAAAGATGTGAAATAATAAAATGCTCCAACTGCCAAGAATATATAACCACTCGAAAAGTTACTTTGCTCATCCTTCCAGATGTGTACGTTGTACTGCTGTTTATTCTACTTTCGAGTGTTCCAAACCAACCAACACTCCAGCAAACCTGTGTCTTATATGGTGGAGATCACCCTGCATATTATCGTGGCTGTTCAATCCACAAAAACTTGCAGAAATCCAATCAAAAATCAAATATTAATTCAAAATTTTTACTTTACTCCAAATCCACGAAAGCAACACAAACCAAATCTTCATCTTTTACCATTAAATATAATAGAACTAATCGCAAAGAAACGCATAGCCCGCTCCCGTTGGCAAAGAACAAGACTTTCCTCTGATAAGCACACGTTTAATAACCTAGCAAATACTATCAAAAAACTAATATTAAAACACAAAATGAGCATTTTTAATTAAAAAACAAATCCTCAAATATAAAAGACGGTTCATTATGGAAAACCACCAAAAACCACCTAAAATTAAAAGAACTTTCATGTCCTTTTAAATCAGACGGTTCACTCGCACTATTTGAAGTTGACAAAATCAATTTGTTTGACGAACAACTTTTTAACATACGAGTACTTAAACCCCACCTCATCACTTCTCCTGATAATAATTCTGGACTATACCTATCGCGTCCACTACTCAAATCTAATCTTCCATTAAAAAATAAACTATTAATTTATAAATTTATGATACGTCCCGTTTGGGCATATGGTGCTAAAATCTGAGGTTGCGCCAAGCCAACCCAAATATAAAGTATCCAATCATTCCAATAAATTTGCCTACGCCAAATAACTTCTGCTTCTTGGTTCGTCAGCAACAACTCTCTTCATAAAAATCTAAATACTGAGACAGTCAAAAACATAATCATAGCAGACTACAAAAAATTCCACTCCAGATTATCCCTCCATTTCAACCCACTCATTTCAAACCAGTTTTATTTGACGCTTCTGAAAGACCCTCCACGTCGTCACAAAAGACGCTGGTGTCGTGATCTGATCTAGACACTTAACCCAAATATACTAACACAAGGGTCTTATCACTGAATGGCTTCCCTTATCACGTGATCCTGTTTGTTTTATGTTGTTTTACAAATCTGCTTATTGTGCAAAATACGCACAGATTGTAAATGTTATATATTTTTAATAATACAAAAAAAAAAAAAATTAAAATTTTTATTATTAATAAAATTATTATAATCTATAAAAATACGTTATTATTGTATATGGTTATGCTGATTAGGTAATCATGATATAAAATTATATTACAAACAATATCATTTCATGTGTTATTATTAAATAATACAATATTAAATGTTATTTTCTCTCATCTTCTGCTAACCGGGACAAACTGAATGATCAGCGGGACACCAGGACATGCATTTGAAACCGGGATGAATGCCAAACCTACGTATAGGGGCTGTCGAACTATATGGGTTGTCAAAAGTTAACGATACGGCTCGCACTATGAATATTTTTTATTTTATCATAAGTTTGATGTACATGATTGATAAAATCAATAAAATGAAAAAAAAGAATGTTTCACAAACATAATTGCGGTTAGGAAATGATTGCCATATATTTGTAATTATTCTAATTGGTTTGAATCATGTAACTGTTCATATTTGCACATATATTTGTTAACAGATTCTCAAATAAAAATAATAATAGGCTAACATCAAAATCACGTGTACAAATCTTAAAGTAAAATTTGAAATTAGAATTTTGGATATTTTAAACCCAATTTCCCGAAAAAACCCTGAAATTAATGATATTATGTACTTCAAAAATAAAAAAACCGTCAGAAAACACGAAACAAATGCAAACAGTTGTTATTCTTTTATTAAATAAATTATTTTATATAAAATACATAACATAAAATTATTTAGAAAACAAAGCAAAGTATATCGAAATGTCAGTTCTATAGCTATTTACCTATATCTAGGTTTTCTAGGTTTATTCATGTTTGGGATTATATGAGTGTGCGAGTGCAGCAACTGCACATGGCTTGGTTTCAAAGAAAATTAATAATCTAAATTTAATACTTTTAAAATTAATTAATATTAATGTCGTAATTAATGAAAATACGTTTGGAACGGCCATCCCGATCCGTGAGAAATTTCAATTTATACAACTCATAATTATTTTACAAATTACTTATTCGTTCATTTTTTTCATCTTATTTTTTAGTGCTGTATCCATTTATTAGTAACTATTAATGTATTGTTACTGTAAATGGTTTAATTATTACTTTACTGCCAAGTGTAGTCCAATAACTTTTTGTTTCGTTATGAATTACAATTTTTATAATTTAAAAAAATAGATCACGGTCACTGTTCGAGTGTAAACGATTATTATATTTGTATTTAATACTTAACATTTTCAAAACCACTCGAAATAGTAATTCGAATTAGACGATTTATCAGCGCTTCCGGATGTTGAAAAATGTTCGAGTTGGCACTGGGTAGCTAACATAGCCTTACAATAAGTGTATGATTATTTAAAATACGGTACAGAGAAATCCTTTTAAAAGAGAATCACAAGGGACCGGAAAATATACAGCCTTAAGCAAATTTTCGGCTAACTCAAAATGTATAAAATATTTATTGATTTTCGCTAACTCAGTATCGATGTTAAACAAATTTTACGGTTGTACTGTGTAACGACCAAATGTATAGCATTTTTTTCTCCAACACTAAATCTAAAACTTTGGGCTTAGAATGTTAAAAGCTTTGTGAGATTCTACACACTGCGGGCACTGCGAAACATTCGAAGAAATGTAAGACTACTCTCAGATTGTTGTTGTACGATAAGCTGTCCGTGTGCTAAATGTCGATATCTTTGCCTGAAACGGTCTATCTTCGCCGGTGATTAGCTACACGAACAGTCCTCGACTATCGTCGACCCACGGACTGCGTTTGGTGCCAACGCGTGTTGTGCTTCGTACGGATAGAGATGTTTAAATACGGTATTTTATTTTTATTTTTATAATTCCGTAATATACTGGTATTATACCGTACAGAACTTTGCAGTACCTTAAATTACAGGAAATTTAACAAAGGCTATAACCTTATTGTTAATTATGAAATATCAATTATTTTAAAATGGATTAATCGAAGAAAATGGCTAGAAAGTTAGAGAAAATGGCCAATCATCACGTCACCAGCACGAATCACAACATAGAGATTAAGTTGATCCAGAGCCGGAAATAAGGGACGAAAGACGGGGATGGAGATCCATCCTCGGGCGTACAATTTTAAAGGGTGTGATTTTTGTAATTATTAACAAATAATTTAATATTTTTAACTTTGTTAAATACTGGTATTAGGTTAAAACTCAATAAGTATGATTGTATAATAGTAAATTATTAGAAAAAAATTCTCGAAAAGAATATTTGATTATTGGTCTTTAATAGAGCGTAATTTTAATATTTTCCTCATGCGTAAAAATCCCTTATTCCGCCTCTGGGTTGATCATGTATTATACAATGGGCGTTGTCGTGCTATTATGTAATACGTTCCATGTATAACTATCGTTATCAATTCATTACAATTTTCTGTGTACGCCCGATAAGCGTATCATTA